AAAATAACTTTTTTAATTTTATAATTTAAATTTTATTAAATTATAAAATAAAAAATATTAAATACGAAAAAAAAACCTATTTTATTAATTAATTAAAATTATACAAACTTAAAACATTCTTAAGTGTAAAATACTTTTTCCTCCATTAAATTTTTACAAAGTAGAATTAGAAGTATAAGAGATTCATCAATTCTAGTGAGGTGGCCAAATCTACGCCTCATTTTTCTGTCTTCAAATCTCATTCTTCTAGCAGCCACTGCCTTGCAAATCTGAACCCTTTCTTTTTTTCTTTTTTTTTGGTTTTTCGATTACAATGACGAACAGAGTTTTCCCCTCCACCAAACCTACCAACACCGTCGCTGCCGCCATGAATGGTGCCGGAACCACGACTGCAATCACCAACGGTGGACCCACCAAGTCCAATCTCTATAATCCCACCTCCCGGCCTCCCTACCGCCCTCCTCCCTGCAACCGCCACCACCACTACCGCTCTAAGCGCAACCTTTGCTGTCAATGTTGCTTCTGCTCCATTCTGATTCTCCTCATCCTTGCCCTCCTCGCTTCCATCGTCGACATAGTCCTCTACGTGATGTACCGACCACATCGTCCTTCCTTCTCCATCCCGGCGGAGTGGTGAGTGACCGACGATGAGAAGGTGGAGAGCAATGGTAAAGGAGAAAATGAATATTTCCTAGAGAGCAATGACTACATTGCTCTGGAACCTGAGATCGATCTTGAAATCCTAAGCGATCTCTCGCACAAGGCTCTGGAACGGAAGTTTTCGGATCAAGAGCTCAGTACTCTTCTGGTACTTCCTAATCTCTCTCAGAGCCACAGTTCCCGGCCTGAAACGGTGAGGCTTCTTCACTCCTTTGGTGGCCGGTGCTGATTTACGAGCAACGTTGGCGGCAAGCTGCTTCCTCGGCATCTTGCCTCTGGTCGACTTCCTGGCTGTTTGCTTAGTACGAGCCATCTCAGGGAACAACAGTGAGATTCTAAGGAATTTTGGGAGAGGGGGGAAGCGGGAACTTTCGAAATTTGCGGCGCTTCTCATTGCCGTCGGTGAGAAGAGAGAGTGCAGACCAAATTCAATTCAAAATTGAAATTCAGGGGTTTTAGGGTGAAATTGAAATACACATATTTTACTCTTGGGAATTACATTGTTAAAATACATGTATTTCACTCAAATTCAATTACTTTTTATTTACGTAAAAACAAACAGTGATATTGAATTTTAGCCCCTCAAATTCAAATACATTGTTTCAAATTCGTGTTACCAAACAGACCATAAGTGATGAAGTATGTTTTAATTTATTTGAAAATTAATAAAATTGTAAATGACTATATATATAATACTAACTAATTTTGGTTTTTTGTTTGTTTTGTAGGTAAATCTCATTATTAAAGGAAATAAATTCAAGTTTCAGACGCTCTATAAACCGACATTAATTCCCTTGAGATGTATTTTTGAGATGTATCTACCTAGAAGTTTAGACATAAGTAGTCAAAATAAATATTTATCATTTAGTTATAAATTTTTTTATACTTTTTTATATTTAATAAATTTTATTAATTATTTAGTGATTATAATTACAAAATAGATAATTATTAAATTTTTTAATGATAGTATAAAAATAATTTATTTAAATTATTTGTAAATATTAATGAAACTGAGAAATATGTATTCATAATATTAGTAAAGAAAGTTGATAATTTTTAAGGAAAAATAATATAG